ATTGAGTAATCAAGTTTTAATGATACTCTGTATACTATGAGTGAAAATCACTCACGCGTTAGCCCTCTCATTTTTTTTATTTTTAGGTATTTACATCAAATATAGGTAGATTCCTTTCGACTGAAAAATGAGAAATAAAGCTAAGTAGCGAAGCTGAAAGTGAAAATCAAAGCCGAAAGACACTTTTACATCAAGGGTACATATCAGAAATTACTGGAGAAAAGGTACTTATTGTGCTCAATGTTACTTAGTATTGAGTAATCAAGTTTTAATGATACTCTGTATACTATGAGTGAAAATCACTCACGCGTTAGCCCTCTCATTTTTTTATTTTTAGGTATTTACATCAAATATAAATAGATTTCTTTTAACTGAAAAATGAGAATCAAAGCTAAAAATTGAAGCTGAAAATGAGAACCAAAGCTGGAATACACTTTCACGTCAGACTGAGGGAATAGGTACTTATTGCGCTTAATGTTACTTGGTATCGAGTAATCAAGTTTTAATAATACTCTGTATATTATGAATGGAAATCACTCATGCATTAACCCTCTCATTTTTTTATTTTTAGGTATTTACATTAAATATAGGTAGGTTATTTTTGACCAAAAAATGAGAATCGAAGCCAAGAAGCGAGAACTGAAGTCAGAGTACACTTTCGCGTCAGACTAGAAAAATAAGTACTTATTACGCTCAATGTTACTTGGTATTGAGTAATTAAGTTTTAATAATACTCTGTACACTGTAAGTGAAAATCACTCATGCGTTAGCCTACACTTTTCTTTATTTTTAGGTATTAACATCAAAGATAGGTTCCTTTCAACTGAAAAATGAGAATCAAAGCTGAGAAATGAAGCTGAAAACGAGAACTGAAGCCAGAGTATACTTTCATGTCAGACTAGGAGAATAGGTACTTATTGCGCTCAATGTTACTTAGTATTAAGTAATCAAATTTTAATGATACTCTGTATACTATGAGTGAAAATCACTCACGCGTTAACCCACTCTTTTTTTTATTTTTAGGAATTAACATCAAAAGATAGGTTTGTTTCTTTCAACCGAAAAATAAGAATCAAAGCTAAAAATCAAAGCTGAAAATGAGAACCAAAGCTAGAGTACACTTTTGCGTTAGACTAAAGGAATAGATACTTATTACGCTCAATGTTACTTGGTATCAAGTAATCAAGTTTTAATAATACTCTATACACTGTAAGTGGAAATCACTCACGTGTTGGCCTACTCTTTTTTATTTTTAGGTATTAATATCAAAAGATAGGTTTGTTTCTTTCGACCAAAAAAATGAGGCCAAAGCTGAGAAATGAAGCTGAAAGCAAAAATCGAAGCCAGAAGACACTTTCGCTTCAAAAGGTTTATATCAGATATTATTGGGGAAAGATACTTATTGCGCTTAATGTTACTTGGTATTAAGTAATCAAATTTTAATAATACTCTGTATACTGTGAGTGGTAAAAGGGTCTAAGGAATAGTTCTATTAGGTAGACGTGAAATGCAGATTTTTGAGTAATCACTCACACATTAGCCCTTTCTTTTCCTTTATTTTTAGGTATTACATTATAGATTAGTTTTGATTATGATGATGAAACTGATGAAGACGAAACTGAACAAATAAAAGTAATAAAATAATAGAGAAGCGGAATAGTATTTTCTTTACTATCGTTTCATTTGCTAATTAATTTTACTAAGCTTTTTACAGTATCCTTCTCACTAATTTTACTTTTTACAGTTTCAAACACATAATCTAATGTGTTTTATTCAGTTCTTTCATTTATGTTTTTATAAACAATTTGTAATGTAAGCAGAAGGTTTTTAATGAATAATTATTGAATAAAAATGTAGTAATTGTGACAAAATTTATTTAATAATATCAAATTAATCAGTGTTACCTCACACTTTCGCTATATTAATATTTTAAAATCTATAAATGCCAAATACTAAATTCTAATTAATTTAACTGTGTAAATTACAAAACTGTTACATAAAGATTGAATAATAAAATACTAATAAAATTGAAAATTGAAATAAAAATAATAAACAGTGTTACAAATGCAAAATTATAATGTTAAAACAGCGAAAAATTGAAATTATCACAAAGGTGTAAAGAAGGATTGTGAAAAGAATGTTTTTCAAAAAAATATATTAAAGGCGAGTATGGGATATTGAGCTATTTTATTAGTAGAATTTTCGTTTATTAATAGGATATTCAAATGGTTTGTAATTACAAATTTTCTAATTTTTTAATTTTAATTTTATAATCGATATGGCAAAAATAATGATAAATTTAGCTTATTACAAAGCGTAAAGTTTTGAAGATTCTAGTAATAATATATTTATAACTATGTTTAATAGAGTTTTGTTATTTATTTGTAAAAAGAATAGATTTATTTATAGTGGATTTTTTCTAAATAAATTCCATGAATCTACCTATAGGAATGACAGGAAATTCAGTTTTTTTTTTCATTTCAAATATCTAAATATCACAATCATTTAACAATTTTTTTTTCAAAAAAAAAAAAATATTTGTAAAAAGATTTAACTTTTTTTTTTTAATTTTAGATTCGAAAACAGTTTCAATTGCTCACATTTACGATTCAGTTTTTTAAAACCCTACTATACAATAAGCTAATAAATAAAAAAAAATAAATAAATAATACTTTATTTTTATTTTAATTAGTATATTATAGAATTAATAAAAATTTTATCAGACGTTATTTTTAAAACTGGGTTTTCTAATCCTTGCTGTTGTTAGTGATAATCCGTTTGCGTAACTAAATGACTACGCCAACTAGCATCACCAATGATCGCCAGGAAAATCGTGATCACCATTTTCACCAATTTCACTGCTATCACGGTTATCATTGTGATATTTATTTTCATTATTATAACGTTTATCA